GAAGCCCTTTGACTGACGCGCACCCATCGCACCTGCACAGACACCAACACATACACACACACACACACACACAGGTTCGCACACACACACACAAACACAAGCACAAGCACAAGCACAAGCACAAGCACAAGCACAAGCACAAGCACAAGCACAACCACAACCACAACCACAACCACAACCACAACCACAACCACAACCACAACCACAACCACAACCACAACCACAACCACAACCACAACCACAACCACAACCACACACACAGACACAGACACAGACACAGACACAGACACAGACACAGACACAGACACAGACACAGACACAGACACACACACACACACACCACACCCACACCCACACCCACACCCACACCCACACCCACACCCACACCCACACCCACACCCACACCCACACCCACACCCACACCCACACCCACACCCACACCCACACCCACACCCACACCCACACCCACACACACACCCACACACACACCCACCCACACCCACCCACACCCACCCACACCCACCCACACACACGCACACGCACACGCACACAACGCACAACACACAACGCACAACGCACAACACACAACACACAACACACAACACACAACACACACACACACACATACACACACACACACACACACACACAGACATGTGCGTACATATATAACGATAACATACTATAACTTCTGCATATGTTTTTTCATTCCTTGTTATTTTCCCATATATATATATATACAATATATATATATATATACATGTATATACACTCTCATGCAAGCATGCAGTCATGCCTGCATGCATGAAAAAGTTCGTGCGTACGAATATGCATATGTTCATACATGCACACATGCATGCGACTGACCTATGGAATCTCCTGTCCGACCTCGAATGCTAGAAGCCCATGAATGCAATAAGCCCAAGAAACATCAAGCTCTTGGTATAGCGACAGGAGTGATGGCTTCTTCGGTAGACAAGGTTGGAGCTTCCCACGCCAAACTCAAGATAGCATACTTTCGGTTTGATGAGGGAACTGTGAATCTACCACATGGGCGCGTATTGTTTTGGTACTACTTCAGCTCAGAGCATATTTTGGTGTGGCGATGAATACACACATAACCTTCACAGATCCACTGTTCAGGTAACACTAGCTACTCTGGCCATGCTGGGGACAGGTTGCAAGCAACAGCCGCAAAGAATGTTGAAGCTCTAAATGGATCACAACGTTTTTCAGAACAGTGACCTAGCCGAACTCGGTGACTACCGCAATCTGCAAAGCAATGGAAAGGTAAGCCGTTTTGGACAAAACTGACAAATGCAGTCAGAGGCGTTCTCTGATTCCTGGTTCCAGTTCCGACAATTTTTGTGGCACCCTTGGGCAGTGAAAGTGCAAGGCGCTTGGGTGTCAGAAACACACGTACTACATGCACACAAGCGTACGTGTCCCCGCGTATGCCCATATGACGCACGTCGCATACACGCGTTTCCGTACAATAAGATGCGCTTGCAAGGGCCAGCGCTGCTTGGCCTCCCGACTCGATGGCCTGTCCATGGACCGCATGGGGTTTGGGTGATCTGACCATCCATGGAACTCTTCTTTTGGGTACCTTTTGTTTTTGTTTTTTTTTTTTTTGGGGGGGGGGGTGTAATGTAATTCTTATTATTATGGGAACTTTGGGGGGGGGGGCCGAAAACTTAAAGCTGGGGTTGCGTGTACTTTTTGTCTTGGGGCCCTTTTGGGGCAACAGGCCTCTTAGTATGGGTACTTAAACTACCCCAAAGCTGGGGAGTCGGACTTTGGGGTGACGGGCTGCGTAAAGGGCACGCGGTCCTGTGGAGCTTGCGACTCACATGCCATGTGTGAAAGGAGAAGCCCATACACGACCTCAGCGACAGTCGACTGGTGCCTCGGCGGCACTCCACTGTCGTTCTGTCGGCCTGCCTCAAAGTTTGTGCACGCGTGTACTTTAACCCAAGCAGAACCACCGTGCAACCTGCAAAGCTTGAACATGCAGCCCTCATGCCTTGCACGCCTTCCGATTTCACCTCAACGACCCCGGCCCACACCGAGCACCTAGCGAGCCCCAAGCAACTAGCCCTAACACCTGCAAACAAACATCGTTCAATTCAACATTTTGAGATGCCTACGCTGAGCGAAGCTCAGTCAAACAGCCCTGAGCCTCTGAGCCCTAGAGTCATCTAGAGTCACTTGCGAGAATCGATCGGAAGCCTCCGAGCAAGGCCTGGTGTTCGCCGCTGGCCGACCAGGTGGGCGATCTTCTGGCAGAGCTGAAAGCATTGGAGAAACGCCAGGCGCCTTGCTGTGGTGTTGGCGAAGGGTCTGGAGCTTTGTTAGAAGCAGGGGTTACTGTTGATACTTCCTCGCATGATAAGCATCTCCAGCAAGAGCATAGGATCACAGTGGAAGAGCTGAGTCAGATCTGAGTCAGATATCTGCGCCGAAGTAGAACAAGCAGCTATCCCTTCGCCAAGTCTCTGCCAAGCCCTCGTGGGCTAGGATCGTGCACAGTTTTGATCCCAGCGGCTAGCTGCCAGAAACCTAAACCAACCTCTTTTAAATACGCAGAGGGCGCCGTTGCCTACAGCTCTCCGGCGGCTCACCTCAATCGTGAGAAGTTGAGAAGCGCAGTGTGCCGTAAGCATTGTGCGCCCTAAGCGCTATAAGCTTATGGCCGCACAAGCTTTGCAATGCTCTGCAGGCAGTTGCCTGGGAGGCACGGACACTTGTGCTGGGGACTTTGTTCATGTAGGCATCATACCATGATACATCAAGAGTTTTGTAAGTAAGTAACCTACAAGGAAGCCCCACACCTTCAGTAGGATTGCATGGTCCAGGTCAATGTAGCAGCCCGAAGCCCTAAGCTTATGAGTCAGCTCTTCGTCTTGTACCTCCTGCTGCATCCTGAAAACAGCCGATGATTCGCGAACATCCCCTCAATGCTTTGGGGCTTTTGGAGTGAAGGGTGCTTCAGTGCTGCAGTGGTTTGATCTTGGAAGAGAGAGCTCGAAGTGCATACGTTGGGACTCCCCGCTGTGCATCATCACGTTGAGTTGCAACTCAAGCCCACCACAACCCTGAAACTTGCAGGATGAAGCCGGCTGAGGGTTTAGGGTTTAGGGTTCGTTTCGGGTTTACAGGGTTTTGGGTTTAGGGTTTAGAGTTCCATGTCCTTGCTATCAGGAGCCTGGTCGGAGCGACCCTGGTGAAGACCCTTCCTGGCCGGGATCCTTGGTGCTCAGGGCAAGGGTCATGGTACTTGACCTGGGCACCAAGAAACGAATGATCCACATATAAAGATAATCTATGATGGCAGAGAGAGAGAGTGTGCATGCACTCTTTACCTAGCGGGTTGAGTAGCTTCGCTGTTGCATATGGTACGCTCTTGATACTGGGAGACCCCCCAAGATGGTAATCCTGAACACGAAACTTGGGCAGTGTACACCCTCCCGTTCACTTCCGAGGTTGTGCAAACCACTGGTCCGACAAGGGGTCTGGGTGGCGCAAGGCTCCTATGGAAGCACTAAAGAACAGTGCGCAAGCTTTAAATGTCGGGGTTGCACGGGCAGTTGCGGTGGCTGGGCTATTTGTGTGTGTTGTTACGGTGTTCAAGCATGGTCGCATACCTGATCCGTCTAGGAACCTTTTCCTGCCAGTAATTAGCTGTTGGTACAGCAGTCCTTGGTTGACAATCAATGCTGCGGCATGGGGATGTTGGGCAGGTGTGCAGTCGATCTGCTCGCTCACATGCTCTGCCTTCACTCGCCCCTTCTCCGCCCTAACTATCTCCATTATCAAGATGCGGTTTTGTGTAGATTGGCTGTTTCGTTCACAAAAGAAGTGAAACAAGCGCATCAAACTCCCGAATAACAAAACGCAGACACCAGAAACGTCTTAGAATAAGCGCAGCAGCTCTCAAGCCAAGAGTCTATTGCCCCCAACACTTCTCAAATATAGAATGCTAATAACTGATACCATAAACGTCGAACTCCTGAGCCGTATGGCAAGCAATGTTGGCTCATGTGCTATTGAATTGTGTCCTTTGTATCGTGTGTGCCTTGGCAAGACGCACCCTTGGTTCAAGTTCAACTGTCACTGTGGGGATGGTTGAACCGACTCGCTGCAGGCCGCGCATTTGCGCGTGCAGGCGAGGTGCTGCGTGGTGCCCAGGAAAAGTGGTTGGATTTTGAGTTGGGCGAAGGGAGGCGCCGGGTTTACGATGAGCTGAGGAGGACAAGAGTCTGGGTTCAAGAAGCGTAAGTATCTCTGGTGTTGCAACCCTAGACCCTACATCCTAAAGCTCGAAACCCTCCCAACAGATCATGCAGCAAAACCCTAAACCCCAGGGTTCTGACGCTCCTGTCCAGGAGTTGCCTCCTCGTAGTCTTCTCGGGTTGAGGGTTGGCAAGTTTAGGGTTGAGGTCTGGGGGGCAATGCTTGATGTGCTGCAAGATGTCGGATGATTGGAGCTTGGCTGTCCTGGCTACGCACAAACGCAGCCGCTGCATGTAAGCCGCCAGCCGGAACCTTGTGAATCGTTGAAAGAGCCTCAGAGTTGGAGAAATCCCTAAACCCTATGAACCCAAAACCCTAAACCCCAAACCCCAAAGTAGAAGGCCAACCTACCTTGTCACCCCGCTGTGCCGCGGCTAGTCGGATGCCAAAACAAAGTAGAAGGCATAATGGAGTCGAGGCTGTGGACGCCCCCCGAGCATGTCACGTGCCTATCGGCCTGTGAGAGGTATCAGCTTGACAGGGTTGCCCTGTTCACTTCCAGAAAAAGACCCTAAATCCTTACCCCTGAGCCCCGAAGCCCCCTTAACAATGGACTTGCCCGCATCGTCGTGTGAGCCTATAGGTCATGTAGCATTTGGCACATATGTGGTCGGAGGTTTGAGCGTTTTGAGGTTCCGGACCCAAGCCTACCCGGAGTGATTCCTTCCTCTGTCACTTCTAGGGATTCCTATAGACATCCAGCCATGTTGACTGCAAAGATTTGCACATCCGCTGCTGTGCTACACCTGCTCTGTGCTGTTCTGATGATCTTTACCGACTCACGCCCCTTGGCAAAGGGTTGTTTCAGGGTGTTGGGGCTTCGTCTTAAACAGGGTGGTGCCGGCCAAAGTATCATCCTTGAGAATCCCAAGTATACGGGCAGAGGGTTTTAGGCACGTAGGGGATGTGCCTTGCAAAAGGGTTGAGGTAGTACAAGTGCAAGCCGAAGCACACGCACGCGCAGCTTGAAGCCTTGAACGAAGCATGTCAGCTGCCAACATTCATTAAATTCCTTGCGGCGCTGTTTTTGGTCTCCCTGCTACAAGTCCACCTACGCTTTGTTGTTCTGGTCCTTTCTTCCGACTGCCACCATGCAAAAGCATCGCCTGAGACATGGCCCCCTGCCTTGCCAACCAGCTTTCCACAGGGTCGCTTAAGCCCCCCTAAGCCCTAAGCCCTAAACCTTAAACCCTAAACCCTAAGCCGGATTCTTGCTCGAGTGGTGGGCGGGTGGCAAAAAACCCGACTCATTCTTGAGAGTCTGGTGGCCTTGAGTGGGGCTGGTCAGGTGCACTGCAGACTGTTCCAGCTCGTGCTGCCTATGTCGCAAGCCTTAACCCTCCATCCATACTGCCTTGCGGTTCGGCCAGCTACGGGAGCGAACCAAAAAAACTAAACCCGATAAACCTTATTTAAGACCCTATAAACCTTAAGTAAGACCCTACAAACCTTAATTAAACCTTATTAGTTGAAACCTATAAACCTTAAATGCAAACCCTATAAGCCTTAGTCAAGACCTATAAACCTTAATTAACAAACCCTATAAACCTTAATTAAAGACCCCATATGAAGGCTCGCGGTGGGGCTTCCGGAATCTCGAGCCTCCACCACCAGATCCGACGCAGATCGCCCTCGGAGCCATCGGCATCAATGCATCTGGGCTTGCTTAGGGCTTAGGGTTAGGGTTTAGGGTTTAGGGTTTAGGGTTTGGGGTTTGGGGTTTGGGGTTTGGGGTTTAGGGTTTAGGGTTTAGGGTTTAGGGTTTGCGTGGTGTTTAGGGTTTAGGGTTTAGGGTCGTTCGGAGAGGAGCCTGGGTTGAAAAAAAGTGTCGCTTGGGGCTTCGCCCAAGCTGGCATGTTGCGCGGCTTAAGAAGGGAGCTATACGCCCACGGCCGTAGATTCAACGCAGCTTGTCGCAGGGTTGGCAAGTGAGTGGGCCGTCCTTGGAGACTGAGGCAGCTTCCGGTGACGATTTCTGGTGGTCGAATGTAACCTAGGGTTGGCTTTAGGCCATTGAATCAAGTAGGCCCCCTCCTTTTCCGAGGTAGCACGCAGCACGCCGATGCGTAAAGTTCTAAGAAGGGGGCCGCAGGGGCATGCTGGCATGCATCCCTCTTTGAATAAGGCGAAACTCCAGGCCAAAGTCGTGGTGCCTCGGTCTGAATACACATGAGCCCGGGACTGGGAAGAATTGCCAGGAGGCTCGTGAATTCTGCTTGCTTCCAGTTGAAGGCAGTAGGCGTCTTACATGGCTAGTGGCGTGCACGCGGTGCGCCAAAGGCTTCTACTTGCTGATGCTGCAGTGGCGAAGCGAGGAAACCTCTGATCGCTCATCGCCACTTCTCGCCCTCCATCCCAAAAGCCTGCTCGGAAAGCGTCAATTCCCAAGCCGGCTCGCCACAAGGCCACGCGGCAGAAGCTTGCTGCCGCCGATCGCCAGGTAGAGGGCTCAGGACTAGTTAGTTTCAGGGTTCAAGGAAGTAATTAAGGGCTGGCAATAGGAACTCGACTGTCCGGTTTGGAGCATGCAGCACACATGATGGCTTCATTTGCATGCGCTAGGTCCTGTAGACACGAAGGGTGGAGCAGATGCGAAGGTTTGTCCCTACAAGAGAGCCCAGCTTTCATCAATCTGCGCGCTGCTGATTTTCATAGGCCATGTACTGAGCTCACATCTTCATTCTCCGTGGAAACAATGAGGTTGCTACAGGTTTTGCCGTGCTGGCATACCTTGCGCAGGCCGGATGGCATTGTTCAATTACCAGCTGTAAGAGCACCATGTTTAGGGCTTAGTGAAGGGTTTCGGGCTGAGACGCTTTCTTGCAGAGAGCATGTCCAAGATTCCAGAACCCAGAAGAAAATACAAAATCTAGGGGTTTAGGGTTTAGGGTTTACGGTTTAGGGTTTAGGGTTTAGGGTTTCCTCTCTCCCAGCTCCACGTGACCCCAGCAAGGAAGCGGCTTACGCTGCACAGCATCCTGGCCTCAGGGTCGGCGGGGGGGTTCAGGGTTTGGAGTTTAGGGTTTAGGGTTTAGGGTTTCGGGTTTCGGGTTTAGGGTTGATTTCACAAAGGCAGCCAAGAAGCCAGCAGTTACCGTGTCTGCAAGAAGCGTCCTGCAGCACCCAGAAGTCATCGCAGTGGGAAAAGCAGCGAGGTCTTCAACCCTAAACCCTAAACCCTAAACCGAGGGGGCATGGTTAGGTCGGAGTCCTGGTCATCGTCGCAACGGCTCCAGTAGCAATATAGCTGAGCGTCTGACGCATGCCTGCCAGTTAGAGCTCCTAGGGCTCCCGAAGTACACATAACCATGACCTGTATACTAGACACTTACTAGACACCCTTTATCTCTTTACTTACAGGCCTTTCTTCTGGATATCTTCCCATGCCCCAGCACTGACAGAGCCATGCTAGCATCGCTTGTGCATCATCAGCGGTCACCAGCCTGTTGAACACCTGGAGAAAATCTGCTTTAGCTGAAGACATATGGGCATTTCCCAAAATAGTAGGGGTACCCCCTTTATACCCCAAATAGAATAGAACTCTTTTTCAAAGGGACCCCCCAAACAGGGCACCCCCTGTTTACGGAAACCCCCCCAAAAACTCTAAAAGCCGGAAGCCCAGGCAGCCGAAACTGCGCAGCCAGAGGCCCCCGTCCAGCATCCCACGCTTGGCTCTTTTGCTTCTTGGTAGCCCAGTGGTACCCTTTACTTTTTTTGGGGGGGGTTGTGGGTTCCCATTATAAACTAAGCTAGCCAAAAAGGGTGCCCTTATTACAATTTGGTTACTGGGCTACCAAGGCTTCCCAGCTGCACCGCAGCGTACGATTTTGGGGTTTTTAGGGTGTTAGGGTTCGGAGGTTGGGTTTTCAGACGTTGTGGTGGAGGGGTCTGGGGATGTGGCCCGGCTCATTAATTATGACGAGGTCCTGAAAGATTCTGAGCTTCCTCCATCCTTTTGGCTTTGCAAGCCCCAAGGTGCTAACTTAGGCTGTTTCGGGGCCTTATAGAAGACAGGCTGCAGCGCTTGTCATGAGTTCAGGATACTGGCCCTAGGGACCTTTGACAGCTGGACCGAGCACTCGGACGAGAGAGAGCATCTTCGAGGGCTTCTGGATGTAGGGTTTAGGGTTTAGGGTTTAGGGTTCACGAGGCCTGTTGCAAAAAGGGTTTAGGGTTTAGGGTTTAGGGTTTAGGGTTTAGGGTTTAGGGGTCGGTGAGGTCCAGCATGTCCTTCACTTGTGGTTACAGTATCTACAGTTCGAGTTTGCGGGCATCAATGTCGAGTTCTTTCTTGAGCAGTGGATATTCGAGGCTTTCACATCTGAGCTTATGCAGCTTCATCACTTAGTCTTCAGAGAATATAGTAAGATTTTCACCTTTCAACTAGTATCCAGAGAGATCTCAGCGTCAATGCTCGCTCTGCTGTAGTGAGCGTGATGCTGGAACCGGGCTGCTGTGAACCGAGGCCTGTTGTAAAAGGGTTTAGGGTTTAGGGTTTAGGGGGTGTTGCTTCTGGTGGTGCCCCCACGAGGCTGCTCCTTTGGCATGGCAACTCGGCGCTCGCGACTGGTGCTTCCCGCGTCCGAGAAACATCCCCTTTCTAGGACCAAGAGTGGGTTTGGGGTTTGGGGTTTGGGGTTTGGGGTTTAGGGCTACTAGGCCCTTATTCCCTTCTTCAAACCAAACATGGCACCCTTGCTACTCCTAGGTTACTCGGGTCTAGATTATGACTTCTAAGACACATTTGTTGTTTATTGTGCAGAAGCTAAGATTTCTTCGTTCTTTTTAATATTCACACATAGTCAGTGACACTTCAACCCGACACTTTGAGCCTTCCGAGCCGACACAAGGCATGCTGTTCTTCAGCTACGTGTCGCCCATGGCACTGCTTTGGTCCTCCGAGCTGCCAACCCTCAGTCTACAGGAGTGCCTTTTCGTGGCCGTGGTAGCTTGGCGCTGCCTTTTGGAGTTTCATGTTTTTTTTCCCAGGGGTTCTATGCTGGGTCGTGCTTTGGGATGATTTTTGATGTCCCCTCATCCCAAGTCCGTATATTTTTTTTAGGTTTAGGGTTTTTGTTGGACATTTTTGGCTGAACCATGTAGAATGTAGATTGCAGAAATGAGTACATGAAGTGAACCCAGTTGAACGAGCGCAACCTCAGGGTGCAGCTGTGCGGTAGAAGCCGTTTGTTTTTGCTGCGTGTATCTGTTACACATGGCCTTCACTACTTCCGCCCCTGATCTGAAGGAGGAAAAGTTGTGCGTTTAGGGTTTAGGGTTTAGGGTTTAGGAGAAAGTGCCAAGCATCCTGAGGCCATCGCCTCCATCTTGGTGTCTGCCTTCTACCTCTTTCTCCTCTTGGGCTGGTGGCGTGGATACTTCCATGCTTGCGTGTTTACGGCTTAAGGGTTGTGAATCGTCAGCCCGGCACCCGAAGAAGCCCCCTCAATGGGACCTCTCCAAAAGGTATGCTTGCCAGCGCTGCCTCGCTCGCATGACACCTGGCCCACCAGTCAGCTGTAGGAGTTGGGCGGCGAGGGAGGACAGTGGTTTAGTTTTTGGTTTTCCAGGTGCAGCAGCCATTGAAAACCATGTGGGGTCTTTCCTGCTTGCAATGGGAGGGCTGACTCGGAGTTCCACGCTGTCGATTCGGGCTGTTGCCCAGTGCTGGACTCCGACAAGATAAGAAGCCATCAAGCGCATGCCCGTAGTCTCCTCAATCCTGACCTAAACCCTAAACCCGCTAACCCTAAACCCTGATTATGGCTCATGAAGGTTCTGAGTTCTTGGTTCCTGGCATTCGCAGGGCCAGGCCACAGTCAGTTGCATGCTTGTTGTAGACTGACCCCTGTGCAGCTTTAGGCAGCCGTGTGGTGGCGACTCAGCCGGTTATAGGTCTGGCTTGAGCTATTCAACAAATGGGCGGTATCAGCTTCTGATGGTAGGGACGATGAAGCAAGCAAAGTGCCGTAGCAAAGCCTTCACCAACCAAGAAGGGCAAAGGCCCTAAGCCACCCAATTCCCGCCTAAGAGATCAATCCAAGGAGGCCAGCGAAGAACTTCCCACCAGCTGTGCATCCAGTGACTTGTTGAAGGGTCTTACAAGACGTCGGGTTGTCGGAGTGCCCCGGGAGGGCTGTGCCATGTTGCAAACATATGGCGTTTGGTAGCTACAGGTAGCTGCAAGTAGGCCTGGACGGCGTTAGTGCTCCCCAGGCAGGACAGGCTTGGATCTGGCTACCCTGAACCTTAAGAAAGCATGGCTCAATACTCTAGCTGCAGAAGTCACAAACACCACGCGGCTTGGGGTTTGACAGGATTTCGGATGGGTGTAGGGTACAGCGCACACAGTACTTGCAATGTCGTCCATCAGAAGAAGCTTAAGCTTAAACGTAAATAAAGTTTTCTCCGCGTGTTCGCGTTAGGGCCGTTCGGGTGCCGCACAATTCCTGCAAAAGCCCTAAACCCTAAACCCTAAACCCTAAACCCTAAACCCTAAACCCTAAACCCTAAACCCTAAACCCTAAGTTTGTTTGAGGCACCTCTGCTTCAGGCATCTCTTTAGCCAGGCCTTGAGGTGCTGCGTTTTGGCTCGCACCCGCAAGCTCAACTCATCCAAAGCCTAATTCTTTGCGGTCTTGTTTCTAGGGTTTAGGGTTTAGGGTTTAGGGTTTAGGGTTTAGGGGGCTGTCATCATCTTGGCTCGGCCCTCGAGCCTCTCACCCTAGATACCCCAAACCTGCAAACTGAGCATGTCGGAATCCTCGAAGCTCAGAAGCACTTCGGGTTTAGGGTTAGGGTTTAGGGTTGAGGGTTTAGGGTTCCGGTCCTGCAAGGTGAATGCCGAACAAGCGTTGCGGCACGTGGCGCTGAATCCATCAGCCCCTCCTCTCGCGGACGGGGAGAAGTGAGAAGCGGGTTCAGCAGCAGGAGCCGTAGACTAGAATCGAACTTTAGGGTTTAGGGTTTAGGGTTTATATCAAGATATATTCCGGTGGCAACGAATGAGACGGCATGACCTTGGCATTCGCATCTAGCTGGGGTTCAGACTCTACGGACCAAGAAGGTCTGTCAGCACAGCTTGACGGCTCGTGTATTAAAGGTCTGCGGAATGGGGACTTCTACGGGCTTGTTTTCTGGACTTGCATTGGGGCTAAGTGGTGCCTAGTTGTCGCGTGCCGTGCTTACAGAGAGAATATCTCTAAAAATCGAAAGCATAAGTTCAAATCTTAAACCCTCCCTCAGGTCAGTGCCCAGCCATCTTGTGAAACCCAGTCTGCTAGGTTTGGGTGCATTTTGGGCCCTGCATGCCCCGAGTGCTTCGAACCTTTTGTGTTAAAGTACGGTCTTGCTCGGTGCCTGCACCCGTGCCTTACTTGACGAAGCAGGCAGTGCGTAATCCTGGCTGCCCCGCCGAACTTTTTGAAGCTGCGGAAGAGGCCGGCTCAGCCTCGGGTTGCGGGCTTGCCAACACCTGAGGTCTCAGCTCCAAGCCTACCATTTTCCGTGCCCCTACTTGGAGGTTCATGGCACTTCTGAACCAACTAGAACTGTACTTACAACCCACTTACAAGCCCCTTACGTCTTACGTGCCCTACTATGGTTAGAAATACAGTTATAAGTCCATGAACCTCCAAGAAATCCCCAGATCGTTGAAGATGTATAGATGCCGCCAGCACGCCAGACCTGCGGATGCAGCGCGCCCTCGGATAAGTCGACCTGAGGCGTTAAGCCTTAACGAAATTAAATTGAAAGCAATGATTAGTCGTTTTTTTCAATACAATTGCCGGCAACATAAACATGCCATAATCTTACATGCAAACATGAAGCGAAGATAGAACTAGTGAGGCTTCAGACTGTGATTTGGATTGAGGTGTGCCTTTAGAGGCTTGCGGTTCAGCCAGAAGCAAGTGGCACGCGCAAGTCCGGGGTGAAGGGTTCCTCAAAGCAAATCTACAGAATTCCTGTGCTGTCCGTGGGTGCAAGATGAAGAGTTTCGCATGAGCTTCCGTGTGTGTGGCTTGCTCGGAGAGATGCGCCATGGAGAAAAGCTGATATGCAAAGTCTAGTCTTCATGCAGAAAGTCAAGATCTGAATGAACCACGCTCATTCATGATTCAACTTCCTCTCCAAGTTAGAGCTGGGACACTTGGAGCGTTCATACCTTAGATTCTCTGATGGGCTTGCGAAAGGTGGAGGCTCGTTGGCAAGACGACTGGCTAGCTCCAACAGAGGAAGCCTTTCAGGGCTCGAAGGTTTTAGGGCTTGGGCCCCTACACCATTTACACTCCAGACGCCAGACCCAACGTTAAGCATAATCGCCCCCGGCGGCAAAAAGCTATATCCCCGTTGGGATTTTTGTTAATATAAAGCCCAAGAGAATAACATTTTTAATATATGAAGAATATTATTTTTATTAAGGTTCTAAGGGGAGTATAGAGAAGAGGCCTAGATCCAAAGCTCTTATCTGAAGAGCCCGAATCCGAAGCCCTTAAACTCCAAGCGCTGGACCTCACTTTGGAGACCCATCGCGACACCACAAGCGAGAATAATCGACAACACCAGCGACCACAGGAATGGAAACCACTGACAATAATCAAAATGAGTGGTTGGTGTATGTGGGGGGGGGGGGGGGGCGGGGGTTGGATTGCGCAGTGCTTTTTTGCGGGATGTGGGGCACAGCCAGGTCTATTGAGATTGTTAGGGTTTAGGGTTTAGGGTTGAGGGTTGGGTTTAGCTAAGGTTTAGGGTTTAGGGGTTTTACTGACTCAGCTCATTCAGTTGATCGCCAAGGTCTGCAGTGGAAGAGCTCAGGCCGTACGAGGCACTGAGCTTCTGCATATCCGAACGTCATGCCGCCGAAGAGAGCTGGAGAGTATCTATTTTGTACTCTAGAAATGCTGTCGGCGAGCCAGTTGGACCCTATGTGCTGCAAGTGGGTGAGCATGTGTAGGCAGGTGGTAGGCTCATCGCCGGTACCTTTGTTCCTGTGCCGATGCTGGCTCAATCAGGATAGGTCGGGATTGGGACGGGGTTTGCAGGAAGGAAGTTGGCACATGAACCGAATGCCCTATTGATCTGCCAACGTCTTTCTTTCTTTTGTGCCATGCTTGCGCGGTCGCGCCTCTGCGTTGCGCTTCACATGGTAAGCCTTCTAGTGGTGAGCTAGAAAAGCCTTGGCATGCATGTATCTCGATAAGTGCATGCCTCCTGGGAGCGTTCATGGCAAAAACTTCTGTGCAGCTGAGAGCAGCAAGCGCATTACGAGACAACAAGGGTTCCAGGAGGGCAATCTATAGGTAAAAAGGGGCTCACGGAAGGGTGCATGCCCATAAGTTTCACGCCGCCATGTTGATGGAGCTTGGAAGCCATGCTCTTCGAAACCAGACCTGCATGATTGATAGCTGAACTACAGCCCCCTTAGGAAGTATTTTTATTCGTATTTTTTAAGAACCCCAGGGAAGATTGGAAGCGTTTTTTATTTGTATCTCTGAAGAACCTCAGGGAATGTTAACAAGTATTGCTAGCCAAGAATCTGAGGGGAGTATAGGATAAGATTTAAGTCCTCTGCAGACCCCCGGCACTGACATCAGGCAATGCGCACCGGTACTTACCGTAGCCCGGGCTGGTCTGCTTTGGACAGGATCTGAACGCAGGCTGAGAGCCCTACATTCGCCTTCTTGGAGGGCTCAGACACATGCACGCAGACACTCAAGCAGACAGAGACATGAGCTGCTAGGATCCCTTAAGGCCGTTTAGGGTTTAGGGTTTAGGTAAAAGGGTTTAGGGTTTAGGGTTTAGGGTTTAGGGTTTAGGGTTTAGGGTTTCCCCCGCTCAGGATTGGTTCTGGGGCTGGGGCTTCGGAACGGGGACACTTCTGGGGCGTCCTTTGGTATCTTCTGTGCCTCTCTGGATCTCTTCCGGAGGGCTCTTCTATAATTCTTCTGGGCCTCTTCTGGGCATTTAATATAGATACCTTTTGTTAGGACTATTTCCCGAGATCGTTTCACTATTCACGCCCCTATATTCAGCAACCGGGCCCAAAGTAGGATACCAGGCCCTGGACAAGCCTAATCACCCGCTTCCCGAAACTTCATTCATCCCGAGTACCTTGCACGCCCACACCCTACAGGGCTTAGGGGATTTTAGAGCTTCAACCCCCCCGCCCCAGCTCAGGATCGATATCCCAGGCTGTTTCGTACGCGCCGACAGCAGCCTCCTCGGGAAGATTGCTTGGGGCTTCGGGTTTGAAGGTTAGGGTGTAGGGTGTAGGCTTCATGGGTAAGGGTTTCGGGAATCCCTCTTAACCCATGAAGCCAGACCCATTGTCAGGTGGGTCGTTTCCCCATGTACCCCCATGCATAGCCCTTATGAACGGGACACCCCTTTATAGAGGCATTTATATAAGCCACCCCGCCTAGGAACTCCCTCTTGAAGCGGTCCGTAATCTAAGCTTATAAGTACAACAACATCAGATCAAGCCCGGAGGCATGTCGGGGACTGTAGGGAGTCCCCTACTTGGGATTCAAGGTTGAGACTGCGGTTTCCAGGGCTTAGCGCAAAGATCCCATTGCTTGGCACGCGCCTTGAGCAATCCCATTGATTCTGATTCATGGCATTGGCTTCCGTGGATTGCCGATAGGTGCCCCGTCTAGGGGATTTTCAGCCACCCTGAAAAGCCCATAGGACGAGGCACTAGCAGCACCCGGGGCGCTCTCCAAAGCGCTTAACAACCCGTCCGTGCCGGACACTGGCCCACCGCCGCGAGCAGTGAGGCCGTCTCCTCACAGCCGGATCGGAATGATCTCTCGGCCATTGACGGCGATGTGGAGGTTCCGGGCCTTGTTGCAGTCCAATCCGTTCTGTTAGCTGTTAGCATTCTGTTTGCCAGTCGCCCTCCTAGATGCATTTCTTACAGTCTAACGCGTTGCTTCGTGAGCCTGCTCACAACCATGATGCGTTCCAGCCACAGCGGGTGGACAACTGCTAGCTCTCCACTCAACATCCAGGTGATCTTCTTCGACTTTGACGGCACGCTCACAAAGCGGGGGCCTTGCAGGTGTAGTGAACAACAACCGCTGCGGATTGGACTTTTGTACATTTTAGCATGTCAGAGCTTATCATTCATTCATTCTTCAGCACGAAACGGGCTCTATTCTTTTCCAGCGTTTCGAGTCGTCGAGGACTCCGGGGACGCTGGCCTCGCATGCCAGCAAGCTTGTGGAGTTACGGGAGAGGCCTGCCGAACCAACGCGGGGGCTCTAGGGCGGGCAGGGTGTAAAGGTGGAGGGCGGGAGGCGAGTTGCTGCGCGAACCCGGAAAAGTCAAGAGCTCCGAGGTTTTGGCATTTCTGGGAGGAAACCTCTGCAGGGCCCCATGATGCCCCATGTATTCCTTACGGGTGGCACCTGTAGCTCCTATGCAAGCTGCGCAGATGAGGTTTAGGCATCGTCTTAGACCTGGGCCTCATGAACACGTCTTCTCTCCGGAAGTAAGAATCCTGAAGAGCCTCAAAGTGCCTACCATGGAGGACACCAATGCTCCAGCCACGGCTCGAGCGCCTACGAGAGGCAGATGGGGTGAATGGGGGTGAGAGGTGTTCGGATTTCAGGATTCAGGCCTTGGGGCCTTAGGATGAAGGTAGCATCATAATCAGCACAACTCATGTTGACTGACTCAGCTCTTGAAAGTCCCACTCAGCTTTCAGCTTGAGAGTGGGGGCATGATGACAGCTGGCGTAATGTGAATGTAGTCCTGCCCTTTAAATAGTCTTAGCGCACCCAGCCACGCAGGACTCAAAGAAATCCCTATATCCGTTGGGACACTCAACCTTCCAGGCAAGACTGAAGACAGTCGAAAGCCCCATCTCTACAATGTCCGCTGGACAGGTCTGTTTTTGTAGGAAGCCGGAAGATTTTCGCTTCGGAACGCTGAACGCCCTAAGCCCTGATTCCGTGAAAACCCACTATAATAAGTCCACGACTATCCCAGACATGCCAGGCAGGAGTAACCCTGGCCGTGATCTCGAAGAGCACGGAGCAAACTGTTTCCTATGCGTTGGAGGAGACAGGACGGGCGTTGGGGCCCTAAGCCCTAAAAACTAAACCCTAAACCCCAAACGCGGGTTTTGGGCTTCGGGAGGATGATAGCTTTTACAACGGGGCACAAGCTGGCGGAAATCCTGGAGATTCTAATTCCAGACATGGTCCCGTTTTCGGTTTAGGGTTTAGGGTTCAAGGATCTCAGACCAGGCCTGTCCTCTGAAGGTGATCAAGAGCCACCTCAACATTCTGAGCTGGGCTGAAACGGTGTCATTCCTGCAGCTGCTTGTGATACGAATTCCCTGAGCGCCCCGGAGGAATCGACACTGAAGTGTCCATTGTGAGAGCGAACCATCCCGAAAGCCCTACAGCTCCCGAAGCTCTCAGCAGGACTGAGAGACTTTTTCAATGGCCCCATACTCGGCAAGGCCAGGGGACAAGTGGCTGGCTTCATTGCTCAGACTTTTCGGAGAGCAGCCGCGGGGTGAGGTTTAGGGTTTGGGGTTCGGGGTTTGGGGTTCGGGGTTCAGGGTTCAGGGTTTAGGGTTTAGGGTTTCGTCCAGTGTCAAGGAGTATAACTCCAGGATACTGGGTTTCGCCATCCAAGATGTGTGGGCGCTTATAAGTTCTACCCAAAGGACCCTATGTAGTACCTTTTTGGGGTAGCATACTAGAATCCCCAATAACTAACCCAAAAAGGAACTACATTGGAGCCTTTGGGTATATGTATGCAGACGAGAGGGCTGTTCTTGCGCTAGGCAGCCCGCGTCGATGGCAAAGCTGGCATCATCCAGGAGCTTGTTCGGCAACTTCTGTGGCAAGTTCCTCCATTAGCCCTTATGCACCCCTAAACAGACAAGCTGCAGGGGACGAGGAAGAACCCTTTAAGTCCTATACATACGACCCCGAAGTTTTGCAGACCACAAAGGCTCTCCAATGCACTCGTTCCCCAAGTCTTGTGCTATTGTCCTCTTCCTGTGCTTGATCATCGTACAGCTTGAGTTCAGTTCCTATTGCGGTCTAAACCCTAAACCTTGCACCCTAAACCCTAAACCAGGGTTTCGAGTTCGGAGTTTTTTGAGCTGAAGCCCCTCGGCACTGGGATCCTGCGATGCGCTGATGCAATGAGGAGCTCTTCGAGGAGGGAGGATGCTTCCATCACCTAGGCGCGGAAAAAGATGTCTTCAAATGGGGGGTGGAGGGGGAAGATTGAGATGACTGAAAGCTTGCGTGCTCTTCCGCTCACCAAGTGTGTGGTAATGTAACAGTAAGGTTTGCGCAATACACCGACATCTTCTCTCCAAGCTTTCAGGTTAGGTTAAGCGGCAGCAGTTCCCAGAAACGGACGAACAAAACTAGACGACATGCTGAAATCAGACTGTGCTGTCTGCAACACCTGCATCCAGTGCAGAGCAACAGCAAAGGTACTGAGCATCAAAAGTTCTAATCCTTGCGCCCTGAGCTTTGTAGACCTCAGACCCTAACTCAGCCGGAAACACTGGCCCCAATGGCAGCAGCCCGTTTGAAATACTAAGCGTTCAGTTCGAACTCTCCAGGGGAGGAGGCTTGGGACAAGGCGATCCTCATAGACGATGACATCTGCGAATCTGGGCTGCGTGAGCTTGGCGTTCCGGGTAGTAGAGGGCTCGGCTGTTCATGTCCCAGCTCCCGAGCTTCGCAAGTCCAGTAGGGCCAGGGAGTCCGAAATGGATCCGGGACATTCCAATCAAGTTGCCACATGTCGTGTTAGATTGAGGTTCTGCCAAGCCCCAAAGCCTCAAAACCCCCACGTCCCCGAACCCTAAAACTTCGGGTTTAGGGTTTAGGGTTCAGGGTTTAGGCTTTGGGGTTTAGGGTTGCCCCCCTACCCTCTCGAACCTTTGGCCCCCTATAGAGCGCATTTGCCGAGGAGCTGGTATCGGCTCGTGAAATTGGCATGCAAACTTTCGCGGCACCTGCCCAGGCCTCCGAGAACCAAGTGTAGGAAAGCTTAGGGGGTTGGATGTAGGGTTTAGGGTTTCGGGTTTAGGGTTTAGGGCTTAGGGGAGTTTAGGGTTGGCTTGGCTTAGTTCTTTAAGATTAGCGAATGCAGGGCTTCTGGTTCTCTGGGATAAGGCGAGGTTGAACCAAGATCGGCAGGGGCTCATCGCACCTTAGCACGAGGTGCTCCAAGCTTGCCGGTCCAACAAACACTTCATAAACATTTTGCATTGTCCTGTCCATGGACAAGGTATTCAGCTTTGCAGATTAACTTCAAGACATATGCCACATCTTGCCCTGACTGCCTTGGGGGGGGAGGGCTTGAATTGTGGAGTCTGTCGATGGGTTAGCTCATGGGGGCCAGAAGAAATGGGAGAAAGTTGCTATGAGCTGCTTCAACGCCAAGGTTTCCCAAACATGTCGCAGCTTCGACCGTAGATGCGCCAGTACATGTGAGGGTTTCCGAAAATAGGCTACCTTATTGAGGGTCCAAAAAAAATATCTTCGGGGTCCCTTGTTTTCGTAAGTCCCTATGTAATTGAAGACCTTACCATCGCCACGGCCAAGGGGGGTCTACAAGATGAGGACTTCGATGACCTCTTCAGATCAATGGGCTTGGACACGGGGGCAGAGCCGCTTCCTTGGCAGTTGACAGTGTTCTTCTTCTTCTGGTGATGGGAAGTTTCAATGATGGTTCGCATGAGTACGATGATGGCTCGGGGGTTTGTGGCTCCCGTTTGAGGCCGGGGATTGGGTGCGCAACCTGGTTGCTTCCGGCTTCCATACTCGGAATTTGTTTTGCATGCCTGTGGCACGGAGTGATGTTGAGCAAGCAAGGACCAAACCTGCAATGCCCAGCACAGGTTGTCCTTGGCTGTTCTGCGTCGCCTCGTGAGGAGGGTTGCAACCACAACCTCGCAAGCTGGTTCACAGTGTGTTCTGCTATCCAGCAATTGCTGTAGCGCTCGAATCGTACTTCCCTGAAAGATGCAAAAAGACCCTGCCGAGCGGGCTTAAGAGGGGACATCCCAACAGCTCTGCCTTTTTTTAAAAGCCTGCCTTTAGCCCCGCCACCTTTCCCCCCCCCCCCCCCCATCCCGAAAAAAACACAGAAACACAAGCAAGACCTGTAGGGCCAAGCCCTTGAAGCCCTCGAAGCTCTTCTCCGAGGTCTGAGGTTGACATGGACCCGACGACCCCACTGGCCCAGCCGAAGCGGAAGAAGCGTCATCGGCCCGTCCGCCTGGAAGACATCCAGCTGGAGCGTCTTGGAGGGCAAAATGTGCGTCTAGAAGGGGCGGGCAAAAACGGGGGCGGGGGAGGGGGGGAACATAGGAATGCGCAGGCAAGCATGAGACACGTGCAGAATCTGCTCTCAAGAAGCGATCACTCTGAGAATTCACACATAGGAGGTTAGGAGGAAGGAAGATTCACCAGGGCCGTGGTTTTGGGGGACAAGCCAACAGAATGCGATGTACTCTCATGAATGTTGAGAAAGGGGTGGAGGAGGATCTCCCACATAATTTGAACAGTTCCTTTGGTCTGTGATGACAGCTGCAAGAGGATGTTAATTAATCAACACCTATCGGCGCACAAAGTCAACAAGCAAATGAAACCAGATAGGGGTGTCTACAAAACTTGTCATGTCGTTCTGAAGACGTGTAGATAGACGCAGACATACATAGAGCAAAATGTGTGTGTATATATATATATATATAGATGCGAAGAATGAACGCACACACACACACACACTCTCTCTCTCTCTCTCTCTCTCTGTCCCTCTCTCTCTCCCTCTCGCTCTCTCTCTCTCTCTCTCTCTCTGTGCACATGACTACTCACTCACCACGCACGTATCCGCATGCATGCGACGCATGTGCTGTGATGGTTTGGTTCAGCGCGACTGGCTGAATGAGGAACGAGACCATTCGCAGCTTGTGGACACAGGCGGGATCGTTGGGCTGGTGAGGAGATCGATTTTCGCTCTAGGATCCCAATGCCCGGCCTCCCGTTTATGGTTTCACCCCCTGCGATGCATACTGGATACCGCCAATATCTCTCTCTCTCTATATATATATATCGTAGCACCTAAGGGCCGGAGCAATTGAAGAGCTCTTTGGTCCAGAGCATGTAAACTGACCCCACCGACAATCGAACCTCCATAGGTCCTGGGCATTCCGGTTAGCTCCGCTCGTCAGCCGAACCTCTGAACCCTGGATGCCGCCAGGGCCTAGTTGGGCAGAGCTTGAAGCTGGACGTTGAAAGTGCGCAGAAAGAGTTCAACGAGGATGCAACCGGGTCCAGGGTTCGGGGATCAGGGTGCAGGGTCTGCAGAGTTTAGGGACAGCACTTGCAGTTGCCCGGCCCAAGAAGTGACGCTATTGATCGTGCGCGCAGACTGTGCCTATACCATTGTTTCCGTCTGACAACGTGCAGGTTTTTAGAGACACCCGGCTGCCTGTACTACAGAAACCATGAGTTGTAAGATTTCTGACGCTGAAGAGATCAATTGACATGCCATGTAATGAGGGTAGATTGGCATGGCCAGAGTATCACAGCGTTGGCGCCCCAGGGTGTAAGTACACAGTGTCTTGCTAGTACTAGGACCAGGCCGAAGCTCCCTGTTCGGTTCACAGTTCACAAAAGGTGATAGAGCCGGAGACTGGCAGAACCGGCTGGAGTCTTGAATGTTGCTAGTCACTTCGGCCAGGTTTGTTTTTTTTTTTTTTTTCACGAAATAAAGTTCAAAGGGCAACCTGGTTCGGAGACCTGCAAGTCCGACATAAAAGGGAAGGCTGTGGCATGTGGGACCTGTGGCATGATTCGAGAGAAGCTCGCGAGGCTCAAAAGCTGCTGAGACTTTCGGGATTTCGCTCGGACTGTCGCAGGACGAGGAGCGTCCGAAGCTCATTGACTACTACGACGTGACAGAGGACTGGGTCAAATGCTCTCATGAACTTAGCCCGCCGGGTTTTCTGGACGGACATAGAGAAGGGCTTCGGGTCATGTGAATGTTTCCCGCCATGGGCCACTCGTAAGCCCATAAACCAATAAGCTGATATGCCCAACGCCATGCCTTCGCCTTACCGGCCGCCAAGAGTCAAGAGTCCTCAACTCCAGTACCCCTATACCTTAAACGCCAAGTTCGATTTGGACGCACCCTGTGCTGCTCTGTCTTTCATGCTGCCACCTTCCAATGACACCCATGGCAGTTGCAGATCAGCGTTCGCAGTTCTTGTGGGTATGAAGGCTTGCAGCGTCAGGCCAGAGTTCCAAAGACTCCATGAGGAGCAACTTCGAAACCTAAACCCTAAACCCTAAACCCTAAACCCTACACCCTAAACCCTAAACCCTAAACCCTAAACCCTAAACCCTAAACCCTAAACCCGAAACCCTAAACCCTAAACCCGTAGCCATTTTGGCTCAAGACTCAGAGACAGCGCCGAGTAAAACCCTAAGCCCTGAACCCTAGTCGTCAAACCCTCCTAAAGCCCTGTCGACACCTTACGAGGCGGACCTGGGACGGACGTGCGCGTGCACAGACATACAGCGCGCTCGTGTCCCGTGCGTCTCGCGGTCATGTTGCCGGAGTATGACAGTCAGAGTCCCCCTCCGGCGGATGACGAGCTTAGGTCAGTCGACCCCGATGGTCCGGGGGGGATGTTGGCGGTCCTACAGACACAACCGGATCATGAGCGCAGGCAGCTGCAGGCAGCTGCGGAGGCTGCGGCCAGGCTGACGCGCTCGCTGGATCAGGGTGGGGCTGAGGGGGGGGATGGCGACGGGGGGGGATCGAGGGCAGGGGGGGCGGGTGGGGAACCTGTTTGCGCGGAGCGCCTGGCCCTTCAGGGGGATGCGGCGGCTGCTGCGGCACTGCTGGCCGCCACCACATCCATGCCCGTGAATAGCATCGCTTTGCCCGCCGCGGCCTTTTCCACGGGGGGGGCTGCTCGTAAGGAACGCACGCATTCCCAGGAAGCCAGCCCAGAAAAACGCCTCCGTACACAGGAGTGCCTCCCTAGCTTTGGCGACGCTAGGGCCGCTGAGGGGGCTCCGGCACATAGGGCTCCCCCGCTGTTCCATGGGGGTCGTGGGGATCACCCCCTCCCGGGGCCCCCCCCCTCCTCCGGGCCCCAGCATTTCCTTTTGGATGAACCGACGTGGGTGGGAGGGCTCAGGGATCAGTTGAATCATCTGCACGGTAAACAGGACACCGCCTTGGCCCAGCTGAGTGGCGCGACCGCTCAAATACAGACACTCACGGCACAAATGGGGTCGCTGGGGGACACGGTCCGGGGCCACGATACGCGCCTTGGGACGGCAGAGGGCCGTCTTGGAGAGCTTGAAGCAGAGGTCCGACGTCTTCGGTCGGTCAGTCCTAGTCCTGCCGCGACGCGGGGCAGCTCCCCGCACTTCTCGCAGGCCGGCTCGTCCCTGCCTGACCGGCACATAGACGATTTCCAGATTGTGGTGGGGGGATGGGATGAGGCCCGTCGGGTGGAGATCGAGGGGGAGGTCACTCGCTTGTTCTCAGATGCCCAGGCCGAGGCCTTGCTTAAGCGCGTCCATGTACCATATGCCAGATCTCGCTACTGTCGTGTGGAGTTGCTGTTCCCCGACGACCGCCCGCGTGCCAAAAGGGAGCTACAGGGCACGGTGCTGCATGCCTTACGCCAGCGCATCAGTGAAGGCAGCCGCTTGCCCGGTCAGGGATCGGCACGCTTGTGGGCTAAGCGCAATCGTGGGCCTGAGGAGAGGGCTAAGATTCGTGCTATTGTCTCCATGAAGGCACTGGCCTTGGAGTTTGTTTCGGAAACTGACGTGGACTTCGACTGGTCTGGGCGGGTCTGGGTGAAAGGGCGGGAGATTTTGTTCCACGCCGACCGTCGCCCCCCATTTGACGGGGCGGTCATGCTTCAGAATGGTCGAGGGGAGGACACGGGCTGGTATGTGCGTTTGGGTGACTTTGCAGCCCTCTTGGGGGTCGCAGAAGAGACGCTCCGGCAGCGACTGGACCTTCGCGATGAGTGACTACCGGGGGGACGGGCCTGCGCGCAAACGCGGGCCGGGGCTTCCAGGGAATTGGTCTGCATGTCGTGGAATTTGCATGGTAAGTCGCTGGAGGCCCTTGCTGATCTGATGACAGGCACATGTGCGCCGCCTGATGTGCTGATGCTTCAGGAACTGGGAGGGATACGAGACTTGGAGTTGGGGGCCCAGAGGGTCCAGGAGTGGTCCCTTGGCCCTAAAATGTATAACGTCTATGTAGTCAACACCACAGCCAGCTTCCGGTGCGTGGCAGTAGCTGTGTGCACGGCGCTCATCCATGCTCGCCCGGAGGTCGTGCCCCATCCCCTTGGACTGTTAGTTAAACTTGCTAGCAACAGGGGTCATTTCTGTTTGTCCTCCCTTCATTTTCCGCATGAACAGCGAGCGGACGCCGTGGAGGTATGGACCACTGGAATTCAGAGTTTGCAAGTGCAGTTATCAGCTCTCTCTCAGCATACACAGATTGTTCTTGGCTGTGATCTTAACCAGAATTACGCGAGCCCGGTAGACAGCTTCCCCGGCATGTCCCATATACGCAGTCTTGTACATGTTCATGGCTTGCGTGGTTCCGCTCCATTGGGCGGGACGTGGCATGCCAGAGGGCTTTCCACCCCAATCGACTGGTGGCTGTTCAGGACACACGGGTGCCGGGCTCAGTTTTGGAAAGATGAGGGTATGCGACAGGCTCTCCCCAGTGACCATGACCCCATCTTTCTGCAGATCACGGTATCCGCACATTGGTTTCACAGAACGTGGCGACCTCAGGATAAAACGGGGCAGTGGAACTATCGCTCGGAGATCCTAGAACAAGGCCTCCGGGACCCCGAATTCACCTACAACCAGGACAGTATTGCAGAGTTGTGTCAGAAGGCGGCCACGCGCCCCCCGGATTTACGGTATTCAGACTCCCCCCGAATTCAAGAATTAATTGCAGAGCGCAAGTCGTGCATGTGCCCTGAAAAACGTGCCCTCCTCATGAAGCAAATTCGGGAAACCCGGACTGCGGACAAAGCGCAGCACAAGACAGACCTCCTGCCAGGGTGACCGCCGAGCCATCTCCTTCTTGCGACGAAGCGCGGCGGGGGCATCCTTTGAGGGAGGGTATGTGGCGGCTAGGGGTGGGCTTCAACAGGCGGCGGAGGAACTCGCCGACTTCTACCGACACAAATACGCCCGGGAAGATGCGGAACCGGATCCGGTCAGAGTTCACGCGCTCCGCGCTGCCGCCTCTGTGGCCCCCCCCCCCGCCCCCATCACCCATGAAGATTTGGTGGCATGCATACAGGAGATGAAGCGAGGTGTTAGTGGAGGTCTTGACGGGGTTACCTACGAGGGTCTTCTCCAGATAGCCTTGATGGATACCCAGCATAAGCTGGCAGGTTACTTGACAGACATACTCCAGGGGCGGCTCGCGCTGCCTCCCTCGTGGAGCCACGGGAAGATCACACTCATGCCCAAGGTGTCGCAGCCGCAGGGTCCTAAGGACCTCCGCCCCATCTGCCTGACGCCTTGCCTTGGCAAGGTCTTTAGCAAGATCCTCATGTGCAGGGTGCGCGACGCGTCGCCGCCATATCAGGCGGGCCAGATGGGCTGTCGTCCGGGATCGCAGGCCATAGACGGAGTGGCGGCAGCTCAGATGATCGTTCAGCAGCTTCGATCTCGGGGCCGCTGTGGAGCCTGCGTGGCCAAGCTGGACATACGGGCGGCCTTTGACACGCTCTCGCACTCGGCGATCCTGGAATGGCTCCGACAAGGCCGGCCAACGACCGAGAAGGTGCTGCTGTGGGAAATGTGCATCCAGTCCAGGATTACTATGGGCATTGGCGCCCGCCGGTGGGACCAACAGTTAGAGAGGGGCGTCTTGCAGGGCACCTCCTACAGCGCGGACCTGTTCTCCCGTGTCATCGACTGGTTTCTGGGTCCGCTTATCGAGCATTGGAGGACGGAGAGGTTCCCGGACTGGGAAGCTCGGGTGGGGCCACTAGCCCACCTGCTCCTTTATGCTGACGACCTCCTCGTCTTCGCCGACACGCCCGCCGACCTGCAGACTAAGGTGCAAGGGATCGAGGACTGTCTGGCAGCCATAGGGCTGCGCATTAATGCATCTAAGTCAACAGTCTTGGGCCAAGTTCAGGGGCCCGCCCCGGGGGTTTGGCTCAGAGGGCAACCCCAGCCCATGCCCGCGGAGGATCACCTCTTGTATCTTGGCGTACCCCTATCGTACATCCTGGACACTGAGGTCATGATCGGCCATGGTCTGCGCAAAACTTCCAATACGTATTATGCCTTCCGTAGACTCCTTCAAGGCATACACACCCCCCTCAAGCTCAAAATGTTGTTGTTTGACTCCTACATCACTTCTAAGTGGGCGTGGTGTGCCCCGGTGTTGTGGCCCAGTGCAAAGCTCCTTAGGCGCCTCACAGCCTTGCAACATACCTATTTGCTGGGCATTCTGGCCTTCACGTCGGATTTTGTATTGGGCTGGTTGGGTAATGAAATTGCCAAGCGACGGGCAGTCCGGGAGGTGTGTAACCGCCTCTTGCAGGGTCGGGCAAAATGGGCAGAGATTTGGGTTCGTCGGGTGTGGAGGTACTGGGGGCATCTTAGCAGATCGGAAATGAACACCCCGGTGGTGTCCATGTTTCGGACGTGCTACTGGGCGGCGGTGGCCACGGGAGCAACCCGGCCGGTATGGGTGCAGGACACCGCCCCCCGCAGGCTGCAGAGGGCGTATATGCGCTTTCGTAAGGATGCGTGGCCGGCCGCTTGGGAACTGCTTGCGCATAGACGCCCTGACTGGACGTTGGCGGAGGATGTCTGGTCGCGCTACTGGATTGCAGAATCCCCTGCACTTGGCCATCCCGACATGTTGGGGGGTAGGCAA